ATGAAAATTAATCTAAAAACAAATTACTAACCTATACGAATAAGCTAAGGGTTGGAAAGAAAGCAAGAAGTAACCTGAGCAGAAGAGTGAACTTTTTAACCTTTGCCCTCCCCCAGTAACTGATCTTATCTTCTTTGCTCTTTCTTTTTGCCTGCTTTTCCTTTTCAAAGTTAAAAGAAATCTGCCTGGTTGTTTTTACGCCCCACTCTCTCTTTCCCTCCATTGCTTGTGTGTCCTAGAAGTGGAGATTTTAAGTTGAGGAAGGTGACTCTGCACGTGGGCTGTTTAACTGAATGAGTGGGAAGGAAGATGGCTGTAACTATGGTGACCATTTATCCAAGTTTACTTGGGACAGTCCCAATCTATGCCTATTTATAGCATCCCCTTCATTCTCAAAAATGTCCTGGCTTGGATGGTAAGTTACACAGCCACCCTAGTTACAACTCAGATGGGCGAAAGGGCAGTGTAGAAAAATGTGGACACTGAAAGATGCTGACAGTTGTTAAGGTTAAGTTAGTGTCTTATTAATGACAACAAGGGAAGATTCACCTTTCCTGACACTGGGCTCGCTGTGTCCTCTTCAGAACTTAAGCAATTATTCTTGCTTACATGCATGGACATTGAACTACTTAGCTTCTTGTAGGATTATAATAAATGAGAGGGAATTTTCAATTTAATAATTTAAAAATATTCCTAATAAAAATTCTTATTGAAATTATATTTTAGAAATGGAAATGGAGATTTAATAAAATGTATTCATGATGGATTTTTTTTAATTCAAAGATTAAGTAACTCTATAATTGCGGATAATTTAGGTAGATAAAGTATTTAAATGGAAAATATTTGAAATACTCAACGAACAGAATAAAATTAATAGAGTGCTGTCTTTTTCAGATACTTCAATATTATTTTTTATATATAATTTCTGAGGGTAATTTGGTGTTATGTTTCAGTGTTTATTACGAAGAAAAAGTTTCTTGTCCCAAACCAAGTTTCTATTCACACTGATAGCAAGTAACTCATTTTTATCATAATGGAGAGTGGTATTAATATTTTAGAGAAATGTTATTGAATTCCAGGTAGGATACTTCCGTTCTAACTCTAACTTTTTGTGGTGGGTTGGGTAAATAAAGCTCATTTCGAAGACCTATGTTTTAGACTTTCAAAGTAGACTATAATAGACAATATTCTCACATGAATATTTGGTGTTCAATTCTAATATATTTAATGTAAGATATCAGGGATTTTTAAAAAGGCTTTAGAGTTTATTATGGATAAAAGAATACACAGAGGAGTAAAATATCTGATGAAAGCTGCCAAAAGCATTCCATACACAGTTTAGACATACAACTTTCAATTATAGTTAACACAGTTTCAATTCAATATCTTGTTACCTTGTTAATAATTAACAGAAAGCAACAACCCCATCTGGACTATGAGATAATCAAACACTATTTCAGAAATCTTTATTGTACTTGTTCTTTTCTGTAAAAAACATTGTCCAAATATTGTATAGGGTACTTTTTCCTGATTACTATTAGCATTTCTACAGGGTGAAATTTGCTGTTCAGTTCTGCTATTGTAAAAGTGACCTGAGGTTAATCACAGTATCATGCTTTCATTCTGAGTTTTTCAATGAGATGTATTTATTGCTAAAAGAAAGCATTCTAGGGAAAAAGTGGAGCCTGCGTCATAATCGTTATGATTAAATTGCGTATTTTTGTCATCCACCTTACTGAGACTATTAAATTACAGTGGTCAGTGCTATACTTAGGAGTTAATAAAAATGGCAGTTATTTAGAGAAACAGTTGATGTTTTTCCAAGGAGACATTATGTGAACAAGTAGAGGAAAGGTGGTACTGGAGAGCATAATTAATAAGATACTAACTTAAACTGGTTCTACCAAAATATCAACAACTGTCAACATTTTTTAAAGTTCCTACATTTTCCTGCTTTAGCTCATCTTAGTTATAATTAGTGTGGCTATGTAATTTACCAGTCAAGCCAGGACAATTTTGAGAATGAAAGGGAATGCTATTAATAGGCATAGACTGGGACTGTCCCAAGAAAACTTGGATAAATGGTCACTGTAGTTACAGCCATCTTACTTTGGTAATAGGGATTGATTCTTATGGGAAGCTATGCCTCTGGCCAATTGGAAAACAAACAAACACAAAAGGATTGCACTGTGATGTGAATACTTATTGCTAGTCTAAAACCTCGCATTGACCTGCTGACACTTGTTTTTGAAGCAGATTGACTTATAGTCAACTTTCTAATTCAACTTTCATCATTAAACTCTCACTACAAGGACAACAATTATAAAAAGAAAATATTAGCCTAGTATAGAATAAAGTACATGTTTAATAAGGGCTTGTTTCAATAATCCTACTTCTAGGAATATATTCCAAGAAAACAGAAACACCAATCAGAAAGCATGTATCACCCCTATGTTCATAGCAGCACAATTTACAATAGCTAAGATTTGGAAACAGTCTAAGTGCCAATCAGCAGAAAAGTGGATTAGAAAACTGAGGTACGTGTACACCATGGAATGCTATGCTGGTGTAAAAAGGAAGGAATTCTTACCATTTGCAACAGCATGGGGAGAACCAGAGAACATTATGCTAAGCAAAATAAGCTAGTCAAAGATAAATATCACATGATCTCACTCATTTGTGGAATATAATGAACAATATAAACTGAGGAACCAAAATAGAACCAGAGTCATAGAAGCATCAAACAGACTGTCCAACCTATGAGGGAAGGTGGGGGTGAGGAGGTAAGAGATCAACCAAAGGACTTGTATGCATGCACATGAGCAAAACAAATGGACACAGTCAGGGGGTGAGGGTGAGGGCACGTGCTGGTGGGGGTAGCTGGGGAGAGATAAATGAGGAGAAAAGGAGACTTATGTACTTATGAAATGCTCTAAACAATAAAGAATTTAAATTTAAAGGGAAAGGGCTGGGTTAACATTCCTGCTGGCAAATGGCATCTGTGTGTAACCCTAGAGAAGTCACTTAACCTCCCCCTATAATGAGGAAACCATTAGCTACTTTAACACGTGACACGGGTCCTACATGGTGGCTCAGAACTGAGAGAAGGGCACACACCCTGTAGCCAGACCACCAGGCTGTAAAGTCATGCTCCATAACCTTGGTGACCTTGGTAAGTGAGTGAATCTCTCTGTCGCACATCTGTCATCTGTAAGATGGGGATGGTGTTAGAATGTGTTTCACAGCATTACAGGGCAGTGTACCCCTGGGGTTCAAGCCCAAAGCCTGGCAACTAGGTCTTCCACTTGTACCCATTTCACCTATTTTTACCTGTGACTGCAGTTTTGGTTACTATTTTTATCACCTTTATTTTATTATCCAGAATGTGCTAGTGCTCAATAAGTAATGGCTTTATTTCTGACTTTTATAGACCTTTCTGCACCTTCTGAGGATTTTACATGGTTAATACTACATAAGTATTATTTGATTCTTTCAGCTTTCCCTTCAGACACATATCTTACTAGACTCGCACTTACTTATGATGACTGACTGATGGTAGCAGCAACCCCAGAAAGTTAAGGTTTAATGAGATCTTAGAGATTCTCTAATTATCTACCATGTTTCCCCGAAAATAAGACATCCTCCGAAAATAAGACCTAGCACATGGAAAGATAAGACATCCCCTGAAAATAAGACATAGCGCAACTTTGGGAGAAAAAATTAATATAAGACACTGTCTTATTTTGGGGGAAACAGGGTAGCTACTGACTACACAGATAAAAGAGTTTCAGTCCCAGAATGGCTCATTCCCTCCAAGAAACAAAATGTAAGTATATAATTTATAATGTTAGGTAAAGTGAGGCTTGGTTAATTATTTCTAAATTCTGGGGCCCTACAGTAAAATATTCTTTCTGTGTGAGGTTCGGTGTGAAAGGAAATATGCAAAGAGGAAATACACATGGAATCTGGGCTGTGAAGGGTGGGAGAGAACTGCCATTTCTCTCCCCTGTGCGGCAGGAAACAGCTGTGCATGAAGAAATGTCTAAACAGCTTCCCAAATGCTCTCTTTCTCAACCTTGTTCTGGTCTCTTCTTGGCTCCTTCCTTCCCCCTCAAAAAGGTTTGTGTCTGGGCAGCTCTGCTTGGTTTGAATTTGATGGGAGAATGGTCAGGCAGCTGGATCATTCAGACCCTGGCTCCCTGCTGATGTGGGCAGAAATTGAGCCAGTTAGAGGGGAGTTAAGCAGCCTATTCATTTCATGTATGCCACTGAGCAACGAGAGGTAATGATGATTTTTATTCCCTCCTGACTTTAAGCCTGAGAAGCAAACTGACAAGTAACGAGAAAATTCAAAACTAAAGCTTCCCAATGTGCTTGAGTGTGATTATTATTTAATGTGTCTTTGTCCTTGCACATACACCGGGTACTAGTTACTATATGAAATTGTTCCAGACACTAGCAATCTGCCTGAAAACTAAGACCAAAATGGGAAAATACTAGAGAGGCCGGAGGTGTGGGTTGGATGGAAGCAGGTTTCTGCAAGCCTATGATACAAATAAATGCAGAGCTCTCTGTGTGGTGCTGGACAAGGTTTTTTTGAGAATTCCTGTCACTTTATGACATATTCGTCTATGTACAGCCCTCAAGCAAAGCTCTACTGTATGGTCACCTTTCGCTTTCCAGATCCACCACCATTGATGGTTGGGTAGGAACATCATCCATGTACACAAAAGACAGTGCAGCATAACTTTGAGGATGGGAAAGAAAAGATTCTTCAGTCACTGGCAGGCTGACCTCAGGGCTGTCAAGCCAATTATGCTAGCCCAGGATGTGTGCTCAGAGCATCACTGTGGTGTGGCAGGTGATGAATGATGAGTTTCATGGCCTTGGGCTCCTTTCCGAGAGAGAAACTACATTGGAAGATGATTTTAGCAAGCATGCTGGGTAGGACTGACAGAACCCTACCGCTTTGCTGGCCTGAGGAATGATGGCAGGACAAGGTCTTGGCTGGTGGCATGTTCAATATAAACCTTCCCTATTTATTTCCCACCCTTTGAGATGAAAAGTTGCCCAAGAAGAACAAAGTTTCATTACATGAGAGGTTTTGCTGATCCATTGAGAAGGGTCTGCAAGATGTTCACCTTTCCAATGGAGATTAGAAACGGAAGGTGACAAACAAAATGGCTCTTGGTTTTCCCCTGGCCCTGGTTTGTCAAGTCTTTTCCTGTTCAAACACCATCAACTCCTAAAGGAACACGAAAGACTACTTTATCTTCTGAGGGAATCTAAACGCAGGGCAAGTTTGTTTTACTTCATAGATTTAGAAATGGGATTTATTAGAAGAAGCTAGAAGTTGAATATTCATTAGTATCCTTGAGCCTCTTTTGAGCAAAAGACTTGAAAGAAGCCAGGGTTTAGAGATTTTTTTTTTTAATCTTTTCTTTTTTCCTGGGCTTTGGGGACTGATGTTGAGTTCTGCCATCTGTGAGACATGTGCATATTAAACCTCTTTTACGTATAAGCTTCAGCTCTTTCAGGAAATTGTTTTCTGCTTATGTTACCTAAGCGGCAGAAATTAGCTTCTGTCTCACATCGTCCCTGCATTATTAAAACACAGCTTGTTGTGCAGAGTTTTAATGGATTCTTTAGGGCCTTTACATATTAATGTTACATACTGAGAACTATTTAAGTATTCCAAATAAAAACATTCACTGGTTAAACGCTCTGTTTTATTTGTGATCATAAGTGAAGGGGACAAGCTAGTTATCTTCGTGGTCATTTAGAAAAAAAATACCTTAACCCAATACAAAGCCAGTCTCCTCATATCGGGCAACTTAGTCCAGAATTCTAAGGGAGCTTAGAATGTATTACACTTTCTTTTTTAGTCTTTATTTTTAAATGGCAAAATGAACAGAAATAGTTGCAACTTGCTATTAATAATTTAAGTATGAAATACAGTAAATTCTTAATCTGAGACATGGGTTGTTGCTATTCCTTCTGTCAAGAAGAATGTGATAATAGTTTGCCTTCAGTTGATATACACTTAAAGATTTTGAACTCTGAAAATACCTAAGCAAATGCTACTTGGTGAGGTCGACCAGGTAGAAAGGACAGAGCAGACAGAGAAGGTGAGAAAAAAAAATCAAACAATGCATCATTTTAAAATTATCTAACTCACATTTCTCTCTACCAGAAGAAAAACAGTAGTAGTTTCTCATCAAATATATGCCCTGAAATATTTGATATTAAACTTTATTCAAAGTCAGCAACCTACAATGTTGGGCCCTGGGTGGCATCCTAGGATAGTGCTATGATGCCTATTTTATTTTTTTAATATATTTTATTGGGTGTTTTTTTTTTTTAAAGAGAGGAAGGGAGAGGGATAAAGAGTGAGAAACATCAATGAGAGAGAAACATTGATCAGCTGCCTCCTGCACACACTCCACTGGGTATGTGCCTGCAACCAAGGTACATGCTCTTGACTAGAATCAAACCTGGGACCCTTGAGTCTGTAGGCTGATGCCCTATTCACTGAGCCAAACCAATTATGGCTGATTCCTACTTTAAAGCCAGACAATATCTACAGCTTCTGTCTTCCACTCTGCCACTCATTAGGTGGGTGACGTTGGATAAGTGATTTAACGTCTCTGTCTTATTTCCTCATTGGTAATAACAGAGGTTTAGATTAGATTCATTCAACTGATATATACTGAGCTCCTATTATGTGCCATGTTTCAGTAAGATATGAAAAATAAAAAGCAGCCCCTATCTTCAAGGAGCTGAAGGTTCAATAGTAACACCGGTAAGAATGAATGCATGCAATATAGAGGTTTTGAATTTCTTAAAGAAACTTGTTTAAGGTAATGGGCAGTGTGAAGGGTATCACCAAAAACAGGGTGGTCAGTTCTCTCTGGGTTTGGGTGGGAGAGAGAAGATTGACAAAAGCTTTACAGAGAAGATGCTTGAGCTGAGTGTGAATAGCATTCTCCAAATGAGTAGAGGATGGAAGGTGTAAGAACACTGGTCTGGAGGAGTTAAGTCAGCACAAAGCCTCCTGACCTAATAGAGGTCTCGTACAGCTATAAAATAAATCTGAGATGAAATATGTAATGGATGGTTGGAGCAAATGGAAAAGGCTTTGTGTGACATAAGGACTACGGATTTTGTGAGAAGCCAAGTCATGGTTCCAAGAAGAGCATGTGCACTGTTCACATATGTATTCTAGAAAAATCACCCTAGAAGAGTATGGCAAAGACTTGGATAAGGCAAAGATTAGAAGCCAGGAAGACAGGTAGGAGGCTGTTACAGAGGCATATGGGCGAGATTATAGAGGTGAAAGCAGTAGCTACAGAGTGGAAGGAAAAGTACTGTGAGATGTGAGGCCTGTTACTTCCTGCATACACAGTATTGAATAAGACACAACCCTTATTCTCCAAAAGCTTACATTTTAGTGGGAAAATCAAAATAATAAATACGAATATGTAATTACAATAGAATAGGGTTTTTCAGGCTCAGCACTAATAGCATTTTGTATTGCATAATTCTTTGTTGGGGGGACTGTACATTGTCGGATATTTGACAGCATCTACTGACCTCTATTCAAAGATGTCAGTAGCCCTCAACCCTTTCTTATAAGCATATGGTACATACTCAGTAAATCTGAATGCTTAAGTGGGTAGATAGATTGATGGATGGTCTGAATGGTTTCCCATTTTAGGTCAGAGAGAAAAAAAATATATTTACATGTGGATTGAGGACAATAAGTTCTGAGGTTATACTTAAAAAATGGGCCTATTGCGACTTCTACTGTCCAATGTCCTGATTGTGGAGAGAAGTAGAACTCAAACTATGGATACATACATCTGTTTTGTTTCATATTTAAATATGTATGAATTTAAGTTTTGTTCTATATTACTTGTTAAGGGTCATATAACAATGTATGTGTTTGTGCCCATTGCTAGACTTCAGCATAGATCTGGGTACCTATTATGAGAAATTTTAGCATGTTGTGATAAGAAAACAGGTTTAAATTCTGGTTTAGTTTCAATAAGCTTTGTCAACCAAAGCAGGAGTTTTAGTGTCACTAATCTTTAATTTTCTCAACTGTAAGGATAGTGTTGTTTTGATGACTACATGAACTAAAAGGTATATAAGTAAAATACTTTGTATATAATAGGTTCTCAGTAAATACTATTTCCCTCTGCCTCTTCTCCAAAGAAACTATATTGTTAGGAATTACGTTTGACTCAGAAACAGAGCTCTGATAATAACAACTTACACAGTTTATTTCTTTCCCACACAAAAGCAGTCTGGATGTCTGCAATCCAAGGTTCATGTGACGACTTCACAAAGCCATTAAGGTTCAATGCTTTACTGATCCTAAATGATGGTCCTCATACTCAGAATTCCTACTGAAGCACTAGTCACCACCAATGTTTTTATTGGTTTTAGAGAGAGAAAAGGACAGGGAGAAAGAGAAACATCGATTGGCTTCCCTGACTGGGAATTAAACCAGTGACCTTTTGTACATGGGATGATGCTCAACCAACTGAGCTACACCAGCCAGGGCTGCCCTCTCTCTTTTAAGAATTTTTCCAAAACACATTTATACTACAAAAAGTTTGCTCATATGTAAATTCCTTAAGATTTAGTATCTTAGAATATAAACAAAAATATTGTTGCACTTAAGGAATTCTATATCTAATATTATTATACCACTTCTAAATTAGTGTGTACATGTGTATTTATGTTTACATATACATGTGTATATGTATTGCAAAGTAAATTTGCAGTATTTTAATGTATAGTTTAGAAGTGGAGTTCATTAGATCTGACATGCAAAAATTATTTAATTTTTTTTAAATTAAAGACTTAAATGTTATATTTGAAACCATAAAAAAATCATAGAAGAAAACCCAGGCAGTAAAATCTTGGACATTTTCAGTAGCAATATTTTTTTTTCTGATATATCTCCTTTTATAAGGAAAACAAAAGAAAAAATAAACAAATGAGACTACATCAAATAAAAAAATTTGCACAGCAAGGAAACAAGCAACAAAATGAAAAGACAACCCACTGAATGAGAGAACAAATGATACATCTGATAAGGGGTTAGTATCCAAAATGTATAAAGATTATATAAAATTCAACACCAAAAAAAAATCAAAGAATCCAATTTAAAAAATGAGTAAAGGACCTGAGTAGACTGTTCTCCAAAGAGAATATACAGAAGGCTAACAGACATATGAAACGATGCTAAACGTCACTAACCATCAAATTAAAATCACAATGAGATATTACCTCATACCTGTCAAAGTGGCTATCATCAATAAATCAACAAACAAGCATTGGTGAGGATGTGGAGAAAAGGGAACCTTTGTGTACTGTTGATAGGAATGCAAAATGGTGCAGCCACTATGGAAAGCAGTATGGAATTACCTCAAAAAATAAAAATTGGAATTGCGCCGAGACCGGTTTGGCTCAGTGGATAGAGCATTGCCTGCGGACTGAAAGGTCCCGGGTTTGATTCTGGTCAAGGGCATGTACCTTGGTTGCGGGCACATCCCCAGTAGGGAGTGTGCAAGAGGCAGCTGGTCGATGTTTCTCTCTCATCGACGTTTCTAACTCTCTATCCCTCTCAATTCCTCTCTGTGTAAAAATCAATAAAATATATATTAAAATTTTTTTTTTTAATTGGAATTGCCTTATGACCCAGCAACTTACTTCTGGGACTATAACGGAAGAAACCAAAGCACTAATTTGAAAGAATATATGCACGTCTATGTTCAATGCAACATTATTTACAATTACCAAGATTTGGTAGCAGCCTAAGTGCTGAATGGATAAAAAAAAAATTGTGGTACATTTACACAATGGAATTCTATGTGGCTGTAAAAATAGAAGGACCTCTTACCCTTTATGACAGCATGAACCTGGAGATTAATATTATGCTAAGTGAAATAAGCCAGTTAAAGAAAGATAAATATCACATGATCTAACTTATAACTGCAAACTAATGAACAAAGTAAACTAACAAAATAGAAACAGACTCAAAGATACAGAGAGTATTCTGACAGCTGTCGGAGGAGGGGGGGGGGGTCTGGAGCTGGGTGGAGATTAAGCAAAGAAAAAAAAAAGCCAATAGACACACACACACACACACACACACACACACACACACACACAAAAGAAAAGAAAAAAAAGAAAGAAAAAAAGAAGAGAAAACAGTATGGTGATTACCAGAGGGAAAGGAAAACTAGGGAGGTAGAAGAGGGTAAAGGAAGGATAAATGGTGATGGAAGGAAACGACTTGGGGTAGTAAACACATAATACAATATACAGATGATGTCTGATAGAATTGTACAGCTAAAACCTATGTCATTTTATTAACCAATATTGCCCCAATACGTTCAATAATATTTTTTAAAAAAGAAAAAGAAATCTTTCATTTTAAAAATCACATTACTTACTGAGATGACCTGGAAAATAACATCCCAATGGCAAGGAAGACATCCAATGCTCAGATCTGTGTTTTAAATCCCATTCTCCAATACACAGAACTCGAAGTCTTTGGAGATCAGTGTTAACATCACCAGTGATAAATCATTAGTATCATCTATCCCTTGGTATGAAGTGACGAAAAGGGAACTTTACCCCTGTGGTATTCTCTCCAAAAGCTCCTATCTCCAATCCAATCGTGAGAAGAGCATTTAAAAACCTTGTTGAGGGACATTTGCACAATACCGAAACAGCACGCCTTAAGCTTGTTATGATCACCATAATAAAAGGAACATTTGAGAAACTGTCTAAAGGATACTAAGAAAACTGGGTGAGTAAATGCAATGTGGTATTTCTGGGTTTGGATCCTGGAGTGAGAAAGAACATTACTGAAATCCGAATAGAGGCTGGAATTTAGTTAATAGAAATGTGCCAATATTGATTTAATAATTTTGACAAACGTACGGTGGTAATATAAGATGTTAACATCAGAGGAAACTGAGCGAGAAGTATATAGAGACTCTCTGTATTATCTTTGTAATTTTCCTGTAAAGGTAAAATTATTCTAAAACGAAGTTTATTCTAAAAATACAAATTATTGAAATCCTGCTATGTTCATTTGTGTAGGGCATTACTTACCGTAGATGCATTTGAGTATAATACCCATACATGCAGGGACTTTGTCTAGCTTATTTCCTGTTGTTTTCCCAATATCTAAAGAAGTACCAGAAATAGAGTAGGCACTCAATAAATATTTGTCAAATGGTGAATGACTGCACATATGTTGTCCTCTAAAAACAAATGTATGTGTTTAGTTGAGGATGATACTAAAGAATAAAATATACACCAAAACCCCTCTGATCTGTTTCTGAATTGTAGTGATTTTATAGTGTGTTATTTTGTAAATTGTAAGGGTGTTCTGACTAGTCCTTCATTTCACAGTCCTGGAGAACGAGCATACTTTTTCTCTATAATTTTCCTAACGGAACATTTTAGGAGGGATGGGTCCTGGAGGAATAGGTAACTGGCTGACAGGCACTTGATTAGGAAAGTAGGAATGTGTAGCACTGATTCTAATTCAAAGAAACTGAACTCTTTTTTGTAATCCTATGAGATTATACATCAGGGATTAGAAAGCTGCATGATACTCATTTTCTATAAATTGGTAATTTTTTCTCTATTAGTATAAAAAAGATCTAACAGGGAAAGGCACTTGATTAAAATCCCAGCCTTACCACTTACTACCAATATGATTATACGGAAATGCTTCAGACTAGGTCTCAGGTCTCTTGTACAAGGTATATGTACAGTCCTCTATTAATGCAAATGCAGGATAGATTCCTATAACAAGAGCTCAAGAGTACAGTGGCTCTCACACAACAAAAACTTACTTCTGTCTCACCTAACGATCCAGGAATGGTGTGAGAGCCCAGGCTCATCTTCTTGCTTAGCCACATCTGGTCTGCATTTCTTCTTTAACATGCTCAACTCCCCACCCTTTCCACAAGGCAGATCCTAGGAAGGAGGAAGTCTAGAGAAAGTTTGCCTATCACTTCCATTCATCTTTCACTAGACAAAACCTAGTCTTGTGGCTCCAGCTTGCTGCAAGGGGAGCTGGGAAATTTTTTCTCCATCTGGGAAGCAATTTGCTAAACTAATACTTCTGTTATCATGGAGTTTTGGCAAGAAAACTAGCAGAGCCTGCCTTAAGTATCTTGAGTGGTACCTGCCATGGGATAAATTATCTCCAAAGGATGTTCTCTTTAAATCATCTGGCAGGTGATTAGCAAGAAAGGGGAAGGTAAGAGGAAGAATTTTATCAACTATGACTTTTGCTTTAGTCTGGATTTAGGATTAGACCTTCCTGGGGAGTTATATTTGTATTTGAAAACTTGCTTATCTTCTTATAACTTAAGACCTAACTCCCAAGAAATAAGGTTTGTATTCATCGTAAGGATAACAAGCTGCAGAAGTAATATTTCCCAAAGTGTACTTGTTTTTATGTGCAATGGTTGCAGCTAGCTTTCTTCTAGCTCATTCATTTAGAAGGAGCTGTGCTCTGTCAAAAAAAAAAAAAAAAAAAAAAAAAAAAAAAAAAAAAAAAAAAAAAAGATATAAAGTGAACTATGCTCCTTATTTCTAATGTAGAAATTCTTTTGCTGGTCCACTTGTAATTTTGTTACTCAGAATTTTTCTACTATCTACTCTTTGCATGGAGTCAGTGTCAAGCTATTAGCAGTAATTTATATGCACAGATGTAGTACTGCACCATTCAGAATTTTCTTTTTATTCTTCTGCTGGGTTGGTTTGATTGTTTCCCTGGGGATATTTACTGTAACCTGTTGAGCTTGGACAGCTTTGTTCCAAGCAAAGCAGTTTATACTAAGCCTGGTTTATGCTAAGCTTGCCTAGGACATTCTTACATTCATGGGCCCCGAATGCAGGTTGTCCACCCCTCATGTGATCCATTAGAACTCACTGCTGACAGCTGGACAGGACTCAGTTGGCCCTGATCTCTGGGTGACATTAGCAGCATGAAGGGTGAACATGATACTGGTGTATTAGTCGGCTTGGGCTGCCATAACAAAATGCCATACACCAGTTCCCTTAAACAAACATTTATTTCTCATAGTTCTGGAGAATGGGAGATCCAAGATCAAGGTTCCCAACAATTCAATTTCTGATAAAAAGTATTTCTGGTTTGCAGTTAGTTTTATCTTCTGTGTGTCCTTACATGGCAGAGAAAAAACCCTCTGGTGTCTCTTCCCCTTCTTAGAAAGGCCTCGGCTCTATCAGATCAGTCCCTCCCGACTTGTGATGGCATTTAACTCTCACCTCCTCATAGGCCCTACCACAGCTACAGTCACGTTAAGGGTTAGGGCTTCAAAATACGAATTTGGGAGAATATAAATATTCAGCCCATAACACTGATCTCCCTTGTATGTGTCATGGTATCCCCAATGGGTGAATGTTTGTTTAATACTTGCCCTGTGCCATCCTGAGCAACCTGCCTAAAATTCCCTAGAGTAGAAGAAAAGATTGCTCCAGTGGCTTCCTAAAGTCTCTGTCTCTAATAAGATATTTGGTTTAATCAACATTCTTTGGCCCTTCAAAATGCTTTCAGAACTATAAAATGTTAACGTATAACAATGTAATAAAATGATACTCACAGAGCAATGTACAGCTTTCTCTGACTTAAATCCTCACTGTAACTCTGTGAGAATAGTTAGGGCTCTATTTTATATATTGGATAATTAAAATTTGGAGAAGCTCAGTGATTTTCCTAAAGTCTCGGGGCTAATAATTGACACTGAGACTCCATTACACACCTTCTAATTTCTAATCCACAGTAGACCAACTATAAGCTGGAATTTGCCTCTGGAATCTCTGTTTGGTTTCAGTCCAAGTTCTGTCACTTATTAACAGTAAGTGGGAAAGTTACTTAACTCTATGAAATGGAGATAATAGAGTCCACCTCATAGGATTCTAATGAAAATTAAATTACATATGTATGTAAATCACTTGCCATAGCACCTGCTGCATAGAAAATTGCTCAAAATTGTTAGTTATTATTTTTAAGAACAGATCAAATTCTATTGCATTTAATTTAACTCTAAAACCAAATTTATACATTTTACTAGATTTAAGGATAAAGTGTTATTCAAATAATGAAACTATTGACTTTTAAATATTTTAGAAGTTATGTGTTAAAATTTATAATATGAATTTTACTGAGAGATGAGCATTTTAAGTATTATCTCAACCTCTGTCTCTCTGTATATATATTTATTCTTGCTTGGTCAAGCAACAGATTAAAACAGTAACTAGCGGGTATTTAAAACTCTTCCAGTTATAATTTAAGCAAACCAGTAGGATTTTTTGGCTTTGGTTTATGGTTACTTAGTATTCATTAATGAAAAATATCGATTTTGGAATTCTCATTTTTTATTTTATACCAGTAACTAATGACAGTCAACATATGCTAAGAATTGTGTTCAAATAAGCTTTGAAAAAGCAAAAGTTTAACTGC